ACCCCCATCAAACTCACTTCTAAGCCTGCTAAACTTACAGTTCAGGTAACACATTCAGAAGTCTATATGGCTCTGCATTGCAAGACCTGATGGCGTTTCACCAAAAGTACTGAGGACCTATGCTAAACAGCAGGCTGGAGTGTACATGGACATATTTAACATCTCACTCACCCAGTAGATCATTCCAAACTGCTTCAAACAGGAGCTTGCCTAAATGTCTACAGACCTGTGACATTAACAGCAGTAGCCATGAAGTGCCTGGAAAAACTTGTGCTAAAATACATTAACAGTATTATTCCCGAGACCACAGACCCCCTGCAGTTCGCCTATCGCCCAAGCAGGTCAGCAGAAGATGCAGTGACCATTACCCTACATTCGGCCCTTGAGCACCTGGACAAAAGGAATACATATGTGCGGATGCTTTTCCTGGATTAAAGCATAGCCTTCAATACAGTTAAGTCTTCCAAACTAGTTAGGAAACTAGCTGGCCTTGGCCTACCCACACCCACTTGCAACTGGATCTTGGACTTTCTAACTCACAGATCCCAGGTGTTTAGAGTGGGGAATAGAGTCTCCGCTGAGATAACAATCAGTACTAAGGCTATACAATACTATATGCTTTAAAACAGCATTTCTGTTTGAAGCAAGACATATTTGATACCTTAATAAAAATAGTTTGTTAGGTGGTTCAAATTACCACCTTCATATTGTGAATTTGGTAATTAAAACATGCTCTTTCAAGTGGTATAATTATTTTTATGGTAGATCTTGTCATACATGGGCAGTATGCATTTGAAATATGGGCATGAAAAGATTTTTTATTTTTTAACACCTCATAAATGAGAAAGTTTGAGTTCTTTCAGACATATACCTAGTTGCTAAACAAAGAACTATAACATGAGTAATTGATAAGAAAATTTGAAAGATCTGATGTTGAGATATAGAAGGCCAAAACTGCTCCAAAGCACAATTTTTATTTATTATTATTATTATTTTTTTTTACAATTTTCAGCAGGCCATAATTTGGCAAATATGCAATGATGGACCTTCTATTTGAGAAATTAAAGACATCTTATACTACACAACACTCCCTGACAATTTCATGCATCTAGCATGTAGAGTTCAAAGGTAATGACTTATGGAACTTTGTAATGTTTTCTGTGCTTTTACAGTAAAATTAGGGCCACACCTGCTTTTTAAAGTTTTTTTCTTTTCAGTATCTCAGAAACTAATGCAGATACAAGTCTGAAACTTTTCACACTATTTATTGGGAATAGTGGAATTATTTCCAGAAAGTATGAAACAAATCTGAGATGGACAGTCAGGAGGCCTACAGTGATTTTGCATGTAATGACCCATATACAAGTATTTGCTTTAGATCAATCAACATACAGACATATTCACCTGTTAAATGTAGTTATTGGGAATAGTGACATTATTTTCTGAAAGTATGAAGCAAATCTGAGATGGTCAGTCAAGATGCCTCTGGTGATTTAACATGGATTGACCCATATAAATATATTTGCTTTAGATCAATCAATGTACAAATATATTCACTTGTTAAATGTAAAACATTGACTATGCAGTTTGAGGAGGAAAACATACATCACTCATCACAGTTAGCTGGCTAGCTTGTTGCTAACAAACATGGAGTCGTCCATTTTCCCCCCACTTTGTAACTATAAAGTGGGGGTCTTCAATCTTGTCCACAAAGGGCCAGTTGGCTGCAGGCTTTCATTCCAACCAGGCAGGAGTTACACCTGATTCCACTTGTTTAATCAGTTCATCTTGGGCACCAATCAACTATCAAGTGTGCCTCCTATTTGGCTGGAATAAAAACCTGCAGCCACACCAGCCCTTTGCAGATAAGATTGAAGATCCCTGCTCTAAAGCATGGCACAGGTGATTTCTTCAAGTCTAAATGGCAAGCCCACACTTCCTTTAAAATTTCATTAAAATGTGGCAATGAAATTTTTACCAAAGTGACTGCATTATTATTCATCAATTTTGGGCGAATTCAATATTTTAGTGAATCAAATGATCAAATATCTCACTGTAATATTGTGCTGTTCGCTCATTGAAGTCAAACTCTTTTCAGCAGACAGTGCAGCCTGAGTGAAAATCTCCTTTGACGTAGTCGCTGTTTTAATGGGAAGAAATATTAATGCTCACTGGACAACAGGCTTTTAACACACCATTTTGAGTCCTGCTCAGATGCACTGGTTCACTGGGAGTGAACTGATTGGGGACGGGTGTGTTTTGCACACAAAAAAATCACAATGTTTTTTAGACAGTGTGCTCTTCGCTTGTCCCGCCTGGATGCATGGTTTCTCCTTATGACAACTGGTAGACCCCTCAAAGGGTCATAACCTTGTAACCTCCTGCCAGTCAGTAAATCAGTAATGAACATGACTGGCATGTCAGACTTAAACATATTGGTGCCAGTTGGAATTGATTGGCGTCTACTGTATGTGTCATTTTTATTTTAAATAAACTGTAAGTATAAAGTATAACGGAGCAGCAGACAGCGAAGACACACAGAGCCGGACCAGCGGAATGTGTGGAGTGAGCTGCTACCATGAGTACAGTTGACAGAAATGAGCAATGGGTCCGCACTGGAGTTAAACCCAAACGCTGTGTGTTGTTGTCTCATCATCCACCCCTGCTAGCACAGCCCATCCAGCTAATGTTAAAACTAACAATGCTGCTTGTAGACCACAGCACAAAGCCAGATCAGAATATCGGCCTCAGTCACATCATTTGGAGAACAGATTTGAACCACTGCAAGGCCTTAATGTGGAGGTTCTCAAAGGTAGTGACCATGACAAGGGGAGAACTGTAATTGTCTGCTGGTCAGAGCGCCTCATAATTCAATGTGAGCTGAACATCACAGTCTCCAAACTGAATGGAAAGCTTCCTACATTACTGGCTGAATACAAACAGTGAAGCGGATTATTGTGCATGTTGGCAAGCATGATACAAGCAAGCAGGAGTCTTAAGTATTAAAAAAGGATTTTAATGATCTCTTTAACACACTCAGCAAGCTCAATGTGCAGTCATTTATTAATGGGCCTGCATGGAGAAAAAATATGTTCTCAAGGGTACAATATGTTCTCCACTTCGATTCCCCAGACCTTCCTCACTTGGTATACCTCAAAGCATCAAGACATTGCTGGACGCCTTTAACTATGATGAGTATGGCTGGGAGGTCATCAGAGACTTCAAAATGGTGGAAGGTACTGATGCCACCATTGCACATCAAGTTGGGCCTTATGAAACAATTTGTCACAGCTCTAGATAAGGAGTCAGCAGCCTTCAAGTACCTCCAAGACTTCTTTCCTAAGCTGCCTGAGGCAAAAGTCAAAGCCGGTGTCTTCGTCAGACCACAAATAAAGAAGGTCCTGGAGTGTAAAGAATTCCCCAAGAAGCTCACTAGGAAGGAGAAAGAGGCTTGGAACAGCTTTGTTGCAGTGGTTCGGGGCTTCCTGGGCAATCACAGCCGAAAACTACGTGGAGCTGGTTGAGATTCTGGTGAAGAACTATGGCACAATTGGCTGCGGGATGTCTCTCAAAGTCCATATCCTTGATGCTCATCTTGATAAATTCAAGGAGAACATGGGAGTATACTCAGAGAAGCAAGGTTCCTGTTCTTGGCTGACAGAAGTGGAACCCAATATTGTGGAACCCAGTCTTCTGCTGTTGTAGCCCTTCCACGTCAAGGTTCAATGTTTTGTGCATGCTGAGTTGCTTTTCTGCTCACCATGGTTGTAAAGAGTGATTATTTAAGTTACTTATATAAGTTGTCGTTCCTGGTAGCTCGAACCAATCTGGCCAGTGGGATAGCCCGACATCCTCTCCTGACTCCACCCTCCATTCACAAACCAGTGCACGACCACGCCTTTATTAGTAGGTGTACAAGTGTTCCTAATTAAGATGTGTTTATTCCTAATAGAGTGTATATATACTTACTGAGAAATTTATCACGAACACCTGTACAGCTAGTCATTTATGCAGTTATCTAATCAGCCAATGATGTAGCAGCATCACACTGCATAATATCATGCAGATATAGGTCAAGAGCTTCAATTAATGTTCACCTCAAACATCAGAATGTGGAAAAACTGTGATCTCTGTTACCGTGGCATGGTTGTTGGTGCCAGATTGGCTGGTTTGTGTATATCAGAAACTGCTGATCTCCTGGGAATTTCCCACAGTTATTGCAAGCAAGGGATATGTAAAAAATATTAAGTATTATTTACTTTAAGACTATCTGTTACAATACTTTTGCTCATCTAACAATTGAGCGGTGTGCCACCAAAGGTGCCATGTTCTAAGTTGTTCAACACATCTAGATGTAAATACCAGGAAATCAAAGCTGAAATTCTGATCTATTGCCTCATATACACTTCATTAAGTTTATTGGGTATGTTTATGATATGAGCTGAATTTGTTCTATAATTCAAAGTAGCCATCCCTGGATGAAGCTACTCAAATCTAGATTAATGACTACAGTACAACAACACAATGCAAAGTTCTTTTTTTTCTTCTTCATTATATGGAAATAGATGACAGTGCTGTTCTAAGATATTGAAGAATAAACACATATACAAGAATGTATTACTTAAACATATTCTGTCTATGAATGTATTCACTATAAATGTAAATATTCTGTCAGTAATAATGTGATTCAAAACATTTAAAACAGACACAGTGAGCCATCTATTTATTTTTTTTTATTATTATTATTATTTTTTACATAGATAGTATTACAGTTCAAAACATATACAAATACATACAAAATTCAACGTGATGCATGTTTGTTTTTTACTTAGTCTTTTGGACATTTATGACAGTATGCTGTTTTTGTTTCAGCTGCTCCCACTGGGGGTCGCCACAGCGGATCACTGGGCCGCATATGTGATTTGACACAGCTTTTACGCCGGATGCGCTTCCTAATGCAAACCGGCACTGGGAGTGCACTGTCTTGTGGCTGGGATTGTTCCCCTGGCCGGGAATCGAACCCGGGCCGAGACGGTCAGAGTGTCGAGGTCTAACCACTAGTCTTCCAGGGACCTCGGACAACTCTGACTGTATATGAGTGAAATAACTGTAAATGACAAGCTTGCGTGAAAGTGCACCATGTTAAAAACTATACTATCTAGACTACGTGTGTACATGCATCATCGACGATGGTGACTCACGTAAATTTCTAAAATAAAACACCTGTTTGTGAAATGTAATACCTTGTTGCCGGATCTGTTAAAGCCCGCTGTGTCTACATCCTTAAGCAGCACAGTACTGCGGCATTTTGTCAATGATCCGCGCAGAACCTGCCAGCAGACGATAGACCTATACCGCCTCAGTGTGGCGCTGATGCTAACTTGCTAAACGCATCGCAGCCAAGGCACTGCGGCATCCTAGGTGTGTGTCTGTGGTTGAGAAGACTACCTCAAGTTGACGAGCTGAAATTGCAAGCTGAGGTGGCGTTTTCAGTGGCTTTTACTGGTTGTAGACGGAGAATTAAAAGTTGCAACTTCGTCTCGAAGGAAGCGTAACTTTTTATGAGCTTTACGTGCTCTGACACCGCAAACAAAAGACACGCTTTCGTGGAGGCGTCCATGTTTTTTTTTCTTCTCCTCTTCACACGTCGAACATGCCGAGGTGGGAAATGACGTTATTACAACTTGCAAATTACCACTTACAAGGAACCGCGAACGCTGTAGAATTCGTCCATGTTTTTTTTGCCCTCCTACTTTGTACCTCGAACACACGGGGGTCCGACTTCCCACTTCCGAGGTAATGCTGCATTCACGACAGCTGGGGACTCGCATTAGAGCGTTCACGCGAACTCAGCCATCTGAAGTCAGAAATAAAATAATTACTCACTGTAACCTGTCTGCAAAAACTGGAATTAAAGAGTTTGGTTAGTGCTTAATTTATTTCCGAAGTGGATGTGATAATTCACAGTTAATACCGCCAAAAGTGACATTAAAGAGCAGTTTGATCAAAAGATTTTGCAGAAAGCGAATTAACATTTCAATACTCAAAGTATCACCCAGTATTCAGCGATTTCAAATATAAAGAGAAACTCAAAAGACTGCTTAAAAAACTGAACTCGTGTTGAAGTGACGTCAGTGATTCGCAACTCGGAGAAGTCGGAGCTCTCGGAAAACGCCGACCTTCCGAGTAGGAATCGCCGTTCAAACGGATCTTTCCTACTGGGAAGACGGGAAATTTCCAGATCCTACTTGGTCGTGAATGCAGCATAAGTCGAATGTAACAATACGCACGCGCATAATGACGTTTGACGCTGATAGAGATTTTGCTAGCGGTATCGAAAGCCTTGCTATCCGTTTAGCCAAGCGTAGGCCAATAAACCCTTTTTGGTAGGACTCTGGAACCCAGAACAGCGAATTCACAAACGGACCCGTCGTCACCAGCGGTCACATTTGTTGCTAAGTTACAATCTTCGTGCTGGTAAGCTGTGTATGCCTAATCATGCTCAGTCATGCTGCTAGCGGAATAGCTTGACTGATTGCTATTTAATTGTCTCGTAAAGACATTGTTTGGTCTATTGACGTGCTAACTAGCTAGCTGTATGTTATTTGACAAGGCTAGTTGACGGACGACACTAGGTACCTAAACGTCGTTAAGCTTTAAGACTAAGGTTACATGCAATTTGAGTGTGCAGTGTCATTTTCTTTTTGTGAGGATGTTTTACGTTTAGCAGTAAGCATTAAAAGTAAAGTAACTAGAATTAGGTTGACGGGTAGCCATTAACAAACTAGCTAGCTAGTGAGGTTTTAATCTGGTGTTTACTGCCTAACTAATCATCATTTCTAACACTTATGTCCCCTGCTAATGTTCTTTAGTTATGTAACCCCTACTGAAAAATGGAAAAAAAAAGAAGAAGGAAAAAAAAAAAAAAAAAAGGACGAGGCAGAGCAATGTAAAAACTTAATAGCTAGCTTTTTAGTTACACAGCCAGTTTCGAGCAATATTGCATCTATTCATTGTTAGTCGTAGAGTAATAGGCGGTAGGTATTTAGCTAGCTAGGTAAACCCTCTACAATACAAACTATGGTATTGGGCATTCTTCTAATTACTCGAAATATGGCAAACCTAGTATAGTTATCTATCGAGCTAATTTATTAATAAACCGTCCTTAACTCTTTAGTAGCTTTTTAGTAGTTGTATTAAGACAGGTAAAAATTTCCATCTGCCCATTTAGATATTTGGGTCCACTATATTTTTCTCAGCTATCTTTTAATTGATTCATTTGTTTGAAGTTAGCAGGGTTTGAAGTTATAGGTTAGGCACTTGTCAAGTTAGAATGTGTTAGTGAATTGTGATTATATGTTAAGAACCTAAATTTTGGAAACAAAAAAAAATAAGCCTTATCAATATCTCTCAAGTTTACGGCCAGGAGTGCCTCATACTGGCCCACGTAGTCTCCTAGGATGTCCATCAAGACTTTTGATATGGTGGAAATGATAAAATCTAACATTTTCAGTGGTGTGTGTTGGAAAACCTTTTTGTTTATAGTTGAATGATTGGTTTCGTTGCCAGGTCATTTATTTAGGCCTGAGTATCAAGGCTGTGGATAGAGGATGGAAGGGGTCACATGGGCTTAGTTTTCTGTTTCTGACACATCAGAAGCTAGGAAGTGTGATGTCCAAGAGGATGTGGCTGTAGCACTGTTTGTCTGTACATAAATGGTCACATGCACACACCTGACCGGGTTTCAGGGGAAATGGTTACTGGCCCCCCACCCCCTTCTGAGTACTGTGTTAGTATAGTACAGAAAGAAATGTGCCAAATACAAGGAGTGGAAGTGAAAAGGTTTTGTGTTCTCTGTGAATTGTGGCAAGTGCACTGTTAACTTACTGGAGTAAAATTGGTTGGAAAAATTTCTCCGTATATGCGCAACACAGAGCTATGACTTCAGAGAAAGTGGCAAGCAACAAAGTGACATGTGAGTTGAGTTTTTCTAAATATGTATGACACTTCAAGTTGACAAATCCAAATGATTGACTGATTCCTTGTACCAATCCTATGGTGCATGTGGTCTGACACGTTTTTCAGTTCCCCACTCACAGCTTTAGTTCCTACCTGCGATTAGTTCCCGTTTACTGTTTGGGAATTAATTGCAGGTAGGAAGCGCCTACCACAAACACAAACAAGAAAAATATGCTGGCTAGCAGAGTAATAAAAAGGGAGAGGCACCTTGTTTCTCTGTGGCTCACACACACTTACAGCCTCAAACCCCATCCCAAACTACAATACCAGTAATGCAGTGCACCTAAACATTAACGCTTTACTGTCTAACAGTAGCATACTTTAATGTCTTTGCGGAGCTTCTTTATCAGAAAAAGTCAGAAACGCTACCAGTGTGTGTGGGACCTGCTCCTGTTACAGACCCTGCCTATGCAACTGTTTCTTCTCCAGATAACTGAGCTAGCTTATATATACATTAAAAATACCATAAAGTGACAATTTTCATCACACCATGCACATGCCCTGATTGATTAGCAACTGTGATTTAAATGACCTAGCTAGCTGCACCTAAACCTTAACACTTTTTAATGTTTTTAAAAATGTTTTTGGACTGTGTTTGCAGAGCCCCTATGCAAAATGCAGATACTGGATATTGTGGCAGTGTAGGGACGATAATATTGTTACATTGCACAAACCTAGGTTTGAATCCACTGCTCTGTTGCTGCAAGCTGCGCTGCCAGTGCAGATTTTGGCTCTCTCAAATTAGGTTTGGGACAATTCATCATAGTATCAGGATTCGCCAGTGGATTCCAGTTATCGTGATGGCTGTCAAGTTAGATGATTTAAATGTCTGTGGGAAAACGCATCTTTAAGATCGACAAAAATAAAGTATGCTGTATTTCGTAATATTTTCTTTGCACCTATTTTGTGTCCTGCATGAACCTTAATAACCTGCTGTCTGACTTCAGAGCAGAGCAACAAAACGTCTTTCTCTGATGCATCTTAGCTTCCCTTGTCCTTACTGCCAAGCAGCTAAAGCTATAAATGTCATTGCTCTGAAAACATGAATGGAGATTTAAATTAAGAAAATGACACATTGTGCTGTTTGTCAGCACTATACAAGAATATATATTTATATATATAAATTTACATATAAATTATATATATATATATATATATATATGTATATACATATATATATATATATATATATATATATATATATATATATATATATATATATATATATATATATATATATATATATATATATATATATATATGTATATATATATATTTGAATAGTGAATAATTCTTCACTATACAAGAATTCATTAAGTATCTCCGCTGCTGTTCACCACAAGCACATGTACGCATAGTTTACGAGCTTAGTTACAGCTAGCGTCTCATTATTTACAGTCCCGACTTCCGTTTTTGCAAGAATTCATAACCTTATTAATGGGTAATTAATTACTCGTAATTAAAAACTAAATGCTAATGCTAATGGTTGCAGCTACAGGCAACTCGTAACCAGCTTCTGGTATTTCTTCCCACTGTAATGACGTAACGTGGCCACGCCACCCCCTTCAGTTGGCAATAGTAAGGGGGCACGATAGCATGATGACATTTCACATACGATCTCACAATCCTAACCCAAATGTAACCTTGGGTGGTAATTCTATCTCATCATCAGTTCGCATATATGAATCCATGTGTCTTTTTTTTGTTTCAGCACTATTGGTCAAATGTGACCCTGACCTGGATAGAGCAGTTACTGAAGGTGAATAAATGAATGAACGAATATTTGGCCTTGTTGTTGTTTTTTTTCCCTGCATTTCTCCTTCTCTGTAACTCATTAGGCAGTTATTAACATTATTCTTGAGGTGCTGTACTTAATGGGTTATGAAATTATTGCTGCCTAATTGGCTGACATGCTCATGTGAATGTTTTCAAATTGATTTTGCTTTTTTGTTTGGATGGAGATCTCTTCAAAAATGCTGTTTGTGACACAATTTTTTTGAAAATGGATGGATAAAAACTACTTCTTGAAAAATGTCTGTATACATGTGGATGA